CTATACAGTGTTTCAACAAGCCGTGAAGTTAGGTTTAGTTGTGACTAAAGTACACCGTGCAATCTCGTTTTCACAGTCACCTTATATGAAAAAATTTGTTGATTTCAACGCTGAAAAGAGAGCCGGTTCTACCAACGACTTCTACAGGAACATATACAAACTAATGAACAATGCCAACTACGGTAGATTGTTGATGAACAAACGGAACCATCGTGATGTCAGGATAGTAACCAAAGACAGTCTCCTTCAAAAGCTGATCCGCAACCCTCAATTTTCCGAACATGTAATAGTAGCGCCAAACGTTGTGCTTGTTTATATGCAAAGGAAGTCTGTCTTGTTGAACGCCCCAATTTATGCCGGAATGTGTGTTCTAGACATAGCAAAAACACACATGAATAGGTTCTATTATGATGTGCTGTGTACTCATATTGACAAGTTACGCTTATGTTACACAGACACAGACTCACTTCTGATACACCTGACCTCGGACCGTGACATATTCGATCTCTTGCGTCCGATAGCATCAACACATTTGGATCTGTCTGTATATCCGGATGCTCACCCACTTAAAGACGATACAAAAAAAGGTCGGATTGGTTGTTTTAAAGATGAAGCTCGTGACGGGAAACAGATCCAAGAGTTTGTCGGGTTACGTGCCAAAATGTACGTATATCGTTACGGGTCGGACGAAAAAGAAGTAAAGTTCACTTCTATGAAAGCGAAAGGTATAAAGTCTTCATATGTGAAACATAACCTCACGTTCGAAGACTACAAGAGGACACTGTTTGACGGCACGGAGCCTGAGAAAGCAGAATTTAACCAGATACAAAGCCGGCTATTTAGGATAACAACCAAAACAGTAGTGAAACGATCTCTGTCTGCTGCCGACGACAAGAGAGTAATCAACAATGACCGAATCAATACGATGCCCTATGGGCATTATAAACTTAGGACCATCGCGGAAGAACCTACCGCTGAGGAGGACAGCAATGAAAACAATGACAATGACATTATATGATTTAGCTCTTACGTCTACTTGTCTAGCTATAGATAGTACAAATAATATTGATAGTCTCGATGAATTAGAAATACTATCGATACTGCCAAATTCAATAAAACGCGATGTTTGTAAGAGACTCAAACACATTTGGATGTCCCAGAGATATTGTCTTCCATTTAGTCGCAGACAATTTCAATACCGATACTTGAATTTTAACCAACTAGACAAGTATGAGTTTCTTATGGTGACCCATCATCACAGTAGGGTTCACCCAGAGTTTTGGCCATCGTATTCAGATAAAGCCCATGTATATTTTGAATACTACGAGCTTGTTATAGGTAACAACAGTACGTACCGTTTATGCAAAGGGTGTTTTACAAAAACCTGTGAACCCTCTGATCCATTTGACGACTATGAAGAGCACTGGCAGTCCTTGAATTGGCGATTCTTTAGTACAGTACATCACTTTGGTGTCGATCCCAGTGGGTTCGTAAGAATTATTCTAAGGCAAGAAAGCAGTTGGTGCGATTTTTGCGTCCTATCACCGTTGTTCCAGTTGTACAGTTTGGATTCATGTACAGAACATACCCATGTACACGACTGGGACAACGACAGTGATAGTGACGAATCAATTGTCGACTCTTTCGAGCGAGTTGAAATTTACAGACCTTATTAGATTCATGTTCACGTTTGACACTCTGCGGATCGATGTTTGTCTTCTCCCAGGGTTTTAACTTTCTGTAATTTATTTTGTTTTCTAAGTATTTTTCTAAAGAATACAACGGATTAACTTGAATATTGTATGTTTTAAATGCTGAACTCTGTCAACTTTGTTTTTTTGTGTATATGTATAAAATATAACGGATTAACTAGAATATTTGAATTTTTTCATGTGCTTTGTGTAAACTATGATTATTTAGAGTCAAACATACTCCAGACTAGTGATTGTTTTGCGAATCTTTTCTTGTTCTTATTGTCTAGTATTTTTTATTGGATATCGTAACTATGTTTTAAATGTTGAACTTTTGATTTTGCTATACTGTATGTAAAAAAAAATTAAACGGATTAACTAGAATAACTTACTTTATATGTCTTGTGTTAACTATGGCTATTTAATATCAAAACATACTCCAGACTAGTGTTTTTTTTTTTGTAAATCTTTTAAAACTTTCTTGTTCTTATTATCTAGTGTTTTATTGAATATTGTAACTATGTTCTAAATGTTAAACTTTTGTTTTTGTCTACTTTGTTTTCTTTGTATACTGTATGTATAAAATGAAACAGAATAACTAGAACATTTATATTACTTCATGTGTTTAAACTATGGTTTTAGTGACAAACATACTCTATAATTGTGATCGTTCAGTCATTGTTTTTAAAATTTTTCTGTTTCATTATCTTGTGTTGAATATTACAACTGTATTTTAAATGTTGAACTGTTGATTCTGTCAACTGTATATAAACTATGTAAATATACATCTAAAATTTAATTTAACATTTCAAATAAAAAAAAAAAGAATATAATTCTCTTGTGTTTTAATACACCTTTCTTCGTTAGTTGGTCTTGACAGTACAACATATGCGTCTTGCGTGATTGTTACACACTTAAATAATAAGATCTTGATACCACTAGCTGAGTGTTCAAGTAAAGTGATAGAGCTTTGTCAATGAGTGATTTGCAATACCTCATGTCTTATAACCACTTGTATCCCTGACTCATCAAGTAAATTGACATCTATTATATTGTTGTTGTACCTTAGCTAAAGGTAAAGGAGATAAATAAAGAAACAAAAGTTTACAGTAAAAATATATATTACAATAAGATACATTCAATACAGCAATTTTGTATTTACCATTTTGACAAATACTTCATGTTCTCTAATACAGCCTCTATAATGTTTGCTACACAAAATCGTCGAACCTCACTATCAATCCACGGCAACATCGATGTTCTAAGTGCCGTCCGTTCATACCAAAAATCTTGAGACTCTGCAGGCAACCTTCTTTCATTCAAGTCAGAAAGTAATTGTGGCAAATCACTTGTAATGTGGCGAACGAGTTGTTTGTCCAATGACATTGAAGCCAAGTCATTTGTAGTGTTTGAAGAAAGTAGAGCCATTACCTTATAGTGTTTGGTAAAATACCGTGTGTAACGAGAGATCAGAAACTGCACAGTTGGGTTTATTTCAAGTAGGATATTAAAGTAGCTCTCAAGGGATGGGAACAAACGTTTGAAAGAGATCCATCCATCATTTTGAAGAACCACTCTGGGAGTCTGTCGAATGATGTCAGATTCATTTGAAGGTCTTGAAAGTGTAACAGAATTCAAATTGTGATTAACCGGTTTGTTTCTCAGACGATAGTTACAAAATGATACTAATCCATTTGGTCTTGGTTCCAATATGACTGTATGTAGATAGAACGGATTGAATGGGGTTTCATCGGAGTAAAACTTGTTGATAGAGTGGTGAACTGTAGAGCTTTGCAGACTCAAAAGATCTTCAAATGTCAATTCAATTGAGGTTTGATTATTTACCAAACAAATAGAAGGAGAAAAGTCTTTAATTGAATCAAGACCAACAGCAGCATGAGCTTGGTTTGCAACTTTATAAATCTGTCTAAGTAAAAGATGTGGTTCCCATGAGTTAGGCTGCTGATCAGAACGCACAGCTGCTTTGTGTGGCTGGTGTATACTATGAGAGTGACTCACCACAGATGTTGTCGGTGTTGACGAAGAAGACGTATATGACACTGGAGACGAAGTCGACGTAGAGGGTGGCAATGGAGATAACTTAGATGCTGATGTATTCTGTAATAGTTGTTGCGAACGTTGAGGTGGTGGCGGCGGCGGCGGTAGCAGCAGTTGTGGTGATGGCAAGGCATGTAGATTGTCTTGATGAGCTTTCTGGCGTAAACCCTGGCTCGACCTAGCGCGTGTAGCAGATTTTGTTGTTGACGAGTTGACTGGAGTTTTCTGATGCAGAATTGACGGTTGTTCCGGCCGGTATTCTTCCACTTCCTTTGAAACATAATTCTTGTCCTCTTCCACTGCGTTACCATTTTGACTGCAAACTGTTGAACACTCGCGGGTATAGTAATTTGCTTGGACCGCACCTGATGTCGTATGTCCGGAATCAGATTCGTCTTGTAGAGTCTCACCAGTTAAAGATGCAAGAAGCTGATCAATGTCCATAGTATTTACATCAGAGTATATAACATTATGCACTGGAGGAGGAGCTTTAGTACGTTTACGTTTCACTCGCGAAAGATCTTTACGCGGAACTGGTGCCGACCGTTTCACTGACGCTTCCATACTGACTAAACCAGCAAACCAGTTCTAGGTTTTATACGGAGTGCAGGTCTGGACAGGTACGATCATCGACCTTGCGAGGCAGATGGTGAGCGTCAAGGACAAATCCATTGAACTGAAAACAAGTCTAGACAGGTTGCGCGCACGGATATTTTAAGAGAGAGATAATTTTGGTGTCGTAAGTAATACAGTGAGCTTTGCATCAATATTTGTAAGCAATTTTAAAGTTTTGACATCTGATTCATCCAACGTGTTTATCCTTCTATCATAGGTTCCTAATAATTTTGATGTTTTCTCATCTGATTCTTGCAGTTTCTTTATCTCTTCTTCTAAAGATACCAACGATTCAGATGTTTTCCCATCTGATTCATGTAGCTTTTCGATTTTTCTATCTAAAGATACTAAATTTGCAGACGTTTTCTCATCCGAGTCTTGTAGTTTCCTGAGCTTATCATCCAAAGATACTAACGATGCAGAAGTTTTCTCGTCTGATTCGTGTAGCTTTTTGATTTTTTTATCCAAAGATATCAAACGTGTAGACGTTTTCTCATCTGAGTCTTTCAGCTTCTTGAGCTTATCATCCAAAGATACTAAAGATGTAGACGTTTTTTTATCCGAGTCTTGTAGCGTCTTGAGCTTATCATCTAACGCTGTAATTAATTTAGATGATTTCTTATCTGATTCTTGTAACTTGTTTAGTCTATCGTGATAGGATACCTGTTTTTCCTTTATGTCGCTTAGGTCGGTCTTAATAGTTTCCTCTATGGAGACTATTGATTTTTTTACATCCTTAACTGCTTGATGGAGCTCTTCGAGGCTAACAGCAAAGGTCTTTAACTTTTCTTCTACCTCATTTAAATCGTCTTTGTTTACATAGAAACGATTTAGATAACCTTTAGACACTTTTTGACGTGATACATCAGGATCCACTGCAGCTCTGAACCTCTTGGTTCCATCATCACTCAACACATACGCATCGTCGTCTTCATCATCAGATAAGTGACGCTTCTGTTCTTGATACAAAGAGTGTCCAAACTTGTCTATAACGTGTCTTCTAATCATAGCTTGTACAATATATGTTTATCATAACAATATCCAAACCAGAATGGTGAAACGAACATGATATTAGCCTATTTAAACCCACTAAGGGAAAACCAAGGCGTTTGACATAAATCTTGATCCCGTCAGACGTTCTAGTTAGTTTGTATAGCTCGTTTTTTACTATACCCAGGAGTTGAACCGAGATGGAAATCCCAACCATTTTACGTATATTTTGTTTCCTTTACGTCTGAGTACTTTTTCAATAAGAAATGTGTCAGGATAGTTAGTTTTTTGAAGTTCAGGCTCGTAAAATGCACCCTTTATATCGGTTCCTTCTTCGTCTTGTAAGTAGTACACAGGGGGAGATGACTGACGTACACGAACGACTTTAAAAAGCTCGGTACTCCAATTTGGAGTGTAGCCCTTTTCAAACAAAGTTTTATATTTTGAAATCCTCACTTTGTCGTTTACTTTAAACTTAGCGACAATACTAGTCTTAGACATATTTAACTTTTTTACCAAAAACTGTTCATTTTGTTTGGTGACGTCTTTTGGTTTCATACCTATCGATCTGTGCACCCTAAAATTGTACTTTTTAATCAATTTAGGAAGTAATTCAAGCCACTTGTAGTTACCCTGTACGCTAAATTCTTTATACATCCAGTTC